CTTGGTATTTGACACCGAGTCCGGCCTGGACACAACGACCAGGCTTTCTCCTAGAACAGGGAGCAGAGTGAAATAGATCATTCGGATCTTGATGCGACTTCTCTGTAGACACGGTCGACTTGAGGGATTCCCCAAGCCGGGGCATGAGGCATGCAAAATCACTTGAGGGATTGTCATGGCCTTTGCTTGGGGCTGATGGGCGCAAATGTTGGCCACGTGTTAGAGGAAACATATTTTTCTCGGCCCTTCGGCCATCCGAGAATGTGGTTGAAGCATCCTCCTACATGCCAATGGTTTCATCCGATGTCTCACCCATTCGCTGACATGGGGTCCAGAGGGCGAGCTTCCCAAGGATTGCTTAACAGAACAAGGAAGCTTTCTGGTGCATCGAAAGTCCCTATGGCTCCCCAAATCACAGCAAACAACCTCATTGTCTGCCCTTCCCTTCAACCCCCGTCCCCCATAATTCCCTTCCGTTTTTCCGAAGTGCCCCTTCAAAGCCCCTTCACCACACCTCAATTTTCAGGGCCGCTTTTTTCTCCGAAAGCGAGAGGCGGCGGTGGTTTTGATTTGGGTCCACCTTTGGGTGGTGCCGGCCATCGCCACGCTGGGCTGTTGCATCGAGACCTTGGCCACGATGCAGTTCAAGGCATATCCGCGAACTGGAGCACCAGGTGATCCGATCCTGAACAAAATCAAGTTTGGAAGATCATGTTGATTTGCAAATGGATCAACTGACCGAAAAGAAATACTTTTTTGAGGAACCTCTTGGGCAAGGGTATGTCATGTTATTGGCCTTTGTCGGTATATCACGGTTATAGTTACATCACTTTGTAATTGTTTTCCATCTTGAGCAAGTTCATAGGTACGGTCCCTTCTTGGCCTATTTGGCTGAATGGCCAGGGTTTACTAGCCAGAGTTTGTTCGCTTGCCCAGAGGGCTTCTTGGTAGAACATTGACCGATTCAGAAGCCGTTCAGAAACTTCGCTTCAGGATCTTGAGCTTCGATTCAGAAGACTTGGGCGCGCGATTCAGAAACTTACCCCGAGTTGGAATCGTCGGCCCGAACCGAAGTAGCTCAATTGCGCCCGCTGAAGTGCACCCGCTCAAGTGCACCCGTGCAGCACTGCATATCTGAAATGATAAAGTGGGTGCCACAAGATTTAAGGATTTTTTTCCCGCTGGATTGGTCCCCTGGAAAGCAAGCAAGCAATCAGGCAGGCAGGCAGGCAGGCAGTCAAACAAGCAGGCAAGCAGGCAAGCAGGCAAGCAGGCAAGCAGGCAAGCAGGCAAGCAGGCAAAGCGCCTACCCAAAACCCATCCTAGTCCGGACATTATAGTAATTTGCCCACATACATTGCATCGAGCACGGTATTGTCAACCGTTTTCCGTAAACTCACGCTTTCTCCCCGCACTTCTCAAAAAATGGTCAGTACCACCAGAACACAGTTTTAATGCTGCTTTTTGACAACCAGCTTGTTGCTGGAAAATGCTTTGTGCAGTTGAGCCCGCCAGGCGAAAATTGCCTGGAGCTCAGTCGACTCGCGGCTGGGTTCTTGCCACTGAGCCCAGGGTGCTCAACTTGGCACACAAAGAGAGGCCCAACAATGGGTGGTTTCCCATCCTCCAGTGCCAAGGTAACCTCTTTGCATCAAAGCAGAAGGGGGAGTCGTTACTTCAATGTCCGCGAGTTGGGAGGTGCTTCCGGCGGCTTCCGGGTTGACTTTAGCCTATTTTGGAGTCCGGCTGTTGCAAAGCTTACATAGAGGTTTATTGAGTTGAGTATGTAGGGCTTACGTAAACCTGTATTGTCTCAACATGTCTCAAAGGTCAACAGCTGCTGACATTGAAAGGGAACTTGCGGCAACCCCGTGGCAATCCATCCCGGGAACATGGCAGGAGTTGGCTGCCTGGTGGATGCTCATCCCATTGCTGGTGCCAGCGCTTTTGCCCAATTTGCCGCTTGTGCTGCAAAGCTTTGGCTGAGGGCGAACCGCTGGCAATAGATTCGATTGGGTGTGGTTCCTTTCTGTTGAGTTGGTACCGGCTTTGGGGTGTCGGTCCTTCACATGGGATGACCATAGGGGAACACCACAAAAAAGGTGACTTTCACCACACAATGGGAAAGTTACGCCTGGTCATGCGAGGGCCAGGAGTTTTGATCAAGCCCCAGATTTGCCTTGATGGTAGTTTCGAGTTGTTGTTTCCTTTTTGGGCAGTGCTTAGTGTTTGAACATCGTTAAAAAGCAGCTTTTGGGTGCTGGAAGTGTCCGCGAAGCAGTTGCCTCACCAAGTTGTTCATTCTGGTTGGCTTGCTTCATGAAATCTGGTTCATGGGCGCCAAAAATTGGGTGGTTCCTTTTGGCTTTTTTCCTTCAAGCCACTGGGTTTCACCAATTCTAAGCCCGAATCACTTCCATGGATTTGCCGAGACCGGTTCTCATTGGCGAAAGCTCCCGTTTTTGGTTGTTTCCACTTCGGTGCCAGGAGGCAGGCCATTTGCTTTTTCCGCTCCGGGCGGGCCTTGTCGTCATGCCGTCGCATGGCGCAGGCGGAAGTCGGAAGCCGGCCTTCGCGGGATCTGGGAGAAAAAGTCGCAGGGTGTCTGACGGGTTGATAGGATGGATATACTTCGACCCTCAAAAAATGAGCCCTGGATGTACATCCGAAGACACTTGAAGCCTTTGGGTACTTGTTCAACTTTCTTGTTCGTCATGATCATGACGTCATTTGGCTTTGTAGCACCCCACAACCCAATTCTAGTTGACGATTTAGGGCCTGTTGGGTGTTTCCCAAAATGAGATGGGCCCGGGAAATGGCAAAGTTCATTCGACACCAAAAGGTTCCCGCTGTCCGAGTTTTGGGTAATGCAAGTGAGGCACCTGCCATACGGCTAGGAACCACCAACCACAAGTGGCAGTGGTTGGTGGACATCATTCCCCAAGTGATGTCCTGAATATGGGGGGCTGATCACAGAATCCTTGCAAGAAGTTATGTATTCGGTGACCATTGGTGTTGGTTTAAACCCCTCCGCAAAAGATCAGAGATGGAGTTCACGAAAGAAACTGTTTTCGCGAAGGATTCCGAGTTGGGTTCTTAGACGCATGCTTGTGTCCCTAGATATTTGCAGACCCCACTCCCTTGTACACAGGGAGATGCGCAGCACCTTCACTTGCATTCTTGACTTCCTGCCAGTGTTGGGAAAGGTTCAATCAAAAGGCTATTCTGGAGCAAGTTTCGAGAAGGATCCGCGAAAGACCGGTGAAAGACAGTGGGGCTTGTTGCAAGGGTTCCGCATCCCAGAAGCCGTTTTTTTCCGCGGATTCGCCGGTTTTTCGCAACATACGCCCTCTCAACGAACGGGCATGGGACCCCAAAGTAGGTCCTGCAAAGCTGCGCGGCTTCCATCTCATTGCGACATGTTTTTAACAGCAAGGGACCCGCGAGCCACCAAGAAGAGAAGGTATCTGCACCTTTCAGGCCCTGGTGTCTTTCCAAACCAACCGAGAAGTGGATGAGCTCTTGCTTGATAGGGAGTGCTTTAGAGAGGGCCTCACATGAACCCACCGGGCGGACTGTTGAAACGAACCGTAAAGCATTGGACCAGTCAGAAACAAGTTGGAGTTGTGTCAGGCACTCATGTCTGGTAGGGTATTGTAGAGACAACTGGAAGCACTTGGAACTTCAAGTCACCAGATTGCGTGACTACCCTTTCAGTTCAGAATCCCCGCTTCTCAGGGATGTAATTGGGGGAAGGCGTGACCCCCGGAATTTCACTTTCCCTTTGTGTCTTGCTTGCTTTCATCTCAGACCTGCCTGCCTACCTGCCTACCTGCCTGCCTGCTTGCCTTGCCTTGCCTTGCCTTGCCTTGCCTCCGCTTGCCTTGCCTCCGCTTGCCTTGCCTTGCCTTGCAGCTACAGTTGCATTCTGGGCACAAAGAGCTAGGGCTGGGGCTGGGGCTGGGCACATGTGGTGTGGCTTGGCTGCGCCTCAGGGCCAGAGCTACAACCAATATTACAAGAGCAAGGGGCTGCGCCTAGGTGCAGCCCCCAAATCGAAGCACCAAGAATTGAGGAGCCGTTCACAAAGCTTTGGGTTTCGGTTATGGAACTCTCGAGCACAACCCAGGAAATCCAGGAAGGTTATATTTCTCCCAACATTCGACCCACTTGTAGGGTTTTTCGGTGCAATCACCGGCACGCACGGAGTGTTTGTCTTGGTTTCCCCTCAAAACATCCCCATCAGCGGGCATATCACCGGCTTCAAACCAGCAGTCGCGTGCACCTCTCCTCCCGTCGCTTCCGTGATCAGGGCGTGCGCTCCTGCTGCACGAGGTGCTGCTCCAGCACCTGGGCAAAGCGCAAAGAAGCAATTCTTCTGATTTTCCATGATGTATACATTGCCGCTGCCAAAGCGGGGCGATGTTTAAGGGAAGCCGTTTAGCACGCTTGAACCAACATAGACAGAGCACCGGGTCCCCGCTTTTGGGTGGAACATGTTGAAACACACTTTTGAAAGCAGTAGGAGAGGAATGGTATGTCCAGCTGGCACTTCTTCTGCTTTGCTTTGTAGAGAGCCTGTGAGAAAGGAGGCATGGCGCTTGGTGGAACTTGTTGGAGCGCCTTTGGCACTCAGGGCAATCCTTGCAGAAGTTCCTGTCGGTGATGGCTCTCATTTTGCAGCCTGGCGCCAATTGAGGCGACTGAGTGTCGCGAAATACTATTTTCTCGGGCGCTTCCATCCATTTGCAGGATGTTCGATTTCATGTGCTGGAATTCTTCCGGCATTTGCAAGGTGGACCTCGAAGTCCCACAAGAAAGGCACGGCCTGCCAGCCGCTGCGCCCCTTACCCGCTCAGGCTTGGATCATATGGATAATTAGAAAACAGACAACCAGAAACCCGGAAAGGCCTGCAAAGATGAGTCCATACATGCCCAGTTTAGCCCCGGTTTGTTGCAGCAGTGCGTGATTTTGCTGCGGAGAGACTACAGTCCACTCACGTGGTGCAGACGTGCAGACACGGCCCTTGCAAGTCTTTTTTTTGGGGGGGTTGGTTAAAAAGGAAGCCCAAGGATGAGAAACATAGAGGCGAAGGAGCCCCGACTCTGTGGGCTGGCAGACGGGGTCTCGGCTTGGCAGACCCTGGGCTATTGGAAGTTGGGATCTCCTTGGCGGCTTCTCGTGGTCATACTAGAATATGACCGTGTCAATCTCGTTCAAAGGACCCCCTGCAAATTTGTCTTTGGACTTAAGTCAAACCTTTGGTCTTAGTTGAAACTCAACATGATATGGTCGTTTCTGAAGGGGAATCTCGTCGAAGACTTACTTCACACCTCGTTTGTGTAACTTTCCCATCATCTCCGTTCAATCTTGTCTAAATCCGATCGCCCAGCCAAATCGGCCTGAAGGCGGAGAAATTGACATGCTCCGTCTTGAGCCTTGTTCCTCCCCTTGTCGAAAAAGTTGGACCAGTTCCGGAAAACTTCACCCGGGTCAGAGCGGCAAGGGGCTGGGCGAGCGGAGGCATCCAGCTTTGCCGTGGCTCCAAACCATGCTGTGCTTCCCCTTCGGCATGGCCTGGTTCAGCCCCGGGGATGCCACCCTCCGATATTGGGCCCGGCGCAAAGCAAATCGAGTCGCCTGTTCAGACAGCTTGACTGATCGGAGGTCTCAGGAGGTGACTTGCGAGTACATAAGTATGTATATATGTATGGCCATGCTGCAGATGGTTTCGACACATACCCAGAAGTGCTTCGAAATTGGGGAACCTTCCCCCCAAAGGGAAAAGCGCCTCCCCTTTCATTTCTCCCTGTGCAACTCCACAAAAAGCACCCCTGAGAATACATGTTCAAGCGACCTACCCCTACTGAGGCTGTTTGCTGTCTCGATTCTCTTTGTGCGTCTCAGACGGAGATCCCCTGGTTTTCGGACACGCAAAATAGGAATCGACAAACATCAGTTTCCCTGTTGCCTGCTTCTACCCCCATTCAGAAAGGCGGTTTGACACCCTCAGACGGTATTTTCGGACCCTGTAGGGTAAACCACACCACACTCACACACTCCGCAGGGCAGCCGTCCACGTCCAACTTGCCTTAGGGTACAACCTCAGACTATAGGGTAAATCATGTCAAATCCTTTGGGATTTCATTCGTCTTCCTCTCCGCGCGGCTGAGATCCTGGGCAGTACGAGCGCGGTGGCGGTGCCAGCGGCCTGTTTTGCGTGGCTGCGAATCTGCTGCAAGGGGCCCCTGCACGAGGACTACCATTGCCCTTACGAGGCGATGGGCCCGCCCGGGGGGGGGGGGGATTGGGTGAGTTGGGGGAAGGTTGGGAGAAAGTTGGGCAGGGGCTTAGCGGGCGTTGGGGTATGAGGGGAGATGTTAGTGTGGGGAGTTTGAAGTTGGAAGCATCCCGAACCCCAACCCACCGCCCGCCTCCAACCTACCCCAATCGCACCCCAAATGAGTCCAAAGCCCAGCTTATCACCTTGATTTCCCTAAATCAAGCACTATCAAATGCAAACCCACCAGACACTGTCCTGCGCCCACCCTAAGTTAGCCCTAAAAGAATCCTGAACCCAACAAAAAGTCCATTTTGAACCCGTTCTAAATGAAACTGTGACCGCACTTGAAACTCGTGCTAAACTAAGCTTGAGTGCACAAGAACATCCCCAAACCAGCCCTGTCAACCTGAGCCCGACTGAAAGCCAATCCTAATTCAATCCAGTACTGTAGCCTTACCACAACCCCACCATAAACCTACCTGAAACCCATCCCAAGGATGCCCCAAACGAACCCAAAGAACCCCAACGCTGTGAGGCAATTGTTCATACCACCAGAATCCTATCCTAACCCCAGACTGGATATCCAACAGGGCTGCCGAGCATTTGGGATTCACTCGCGTTGCTTTGCGTTGTATCCCAAGAATCGGGGCGGGGGCGGCCTCGTTGCGACAGCAAGACAGCTGGCAGGACGGGGTGCGCATGCACGTCGGCTGGTTCGGCGCTTTGGCGTTCCTGCTCTACAGTGGTTTCAGCGCCCTTGGCTCAAACACGGAAAATGATCCCCTCACTCCTTGAGTTCTTGGGCACTCTTTATCTTCTTTTTGTTAGGTGGGGTCCGTCAACCATTGGACCATGTCAACTCTAAGAACGGTTCCAATTTCAGTAGAGTGACTGGGTAACCGGGAAATGGCACGCTTCGAACTGTTTTTGCTTCTTTCCGGCCAAAGAGTTCGGCCACCAACTATCAGCCCATTTTCAGCCGGATGCTCTAGAGGGTGGCGAGGTTCGCGCTTTGCCCAGAGTTGCCCGGCCGCGGGCCGTTGTTGATTTGCAGTGCAAAGGCCAGACGAAGATTTCTTTTTGGGGGTGACACATGCGGTTATTTTGCATGTTGCAGCCATAGGGCATTTTTTGTTTTCTGAAACAGGGATTGGTTCACCCCGCAGCAACCGAGAAGCGTTCGCGCATTGTTACTTGGTCGCAAGCCAGGGCTGTGAGAGTTGCAAGAAACGTGCTCCAGCACTTCAGACACTACTGAGCTTTGTCGAAGTCTTGTTGGAGATCCAAGTTTGCTTTCAGGCTACTCCTCTGCACCATGGAACCCAACAAACTGTTTTTACGGGATCCGTTCCAGATGAATGTGGGGCACAACTAACAACACCCTTCTCAAGGCGCAAGGAGCCAACTGTCTCCACCTCCAGGATCCTTCGGGGAGCTGGCTGGTGTTTTGCCGGCTGGAGAATGGCACATCAGCCCGAAACTTGTGGCTTTGCAGACATGGCTTTTCCGAGGGTCGTCAGACATCAGCCCTAAACTTCGTGGTTTTGGGGGGGAGGCAGCAGCGAGGTGTACATATCGAGGGCGCCTGGCTGGCTCGCTCCAAGCGCGACCCCGTGCGGACCAACGACGCGGCCTTCGCCGTGTGGTGCTTGTGGCCGGGGCCCTGGGGCCCCCAGGGTCCCGGCGTGGCCCATGGACCCCCTACCAGCTCTACCAATTTTATGGTTGCCTTAAAGTTATGGAGTGAGTTCTCTGCTTCAACAGTGAGTCAGTTTGAAAATTCAGGGTATAGGGGATTCCTGAAATGCCGTTCCCAACCTGAACAGGGGCAAAGAATCACCCAAGTCGTAGCCTTGCATTGGCCTCCCAAAGCAAGTGAGACAAACTGACATGGGGGTAAGTCTTGGAATTCAAGCTGGAAAGAGTTAAAAAGTTAGAACAACCCGCATGACTATCGTCCACGAAGTGTCTGATCTTTGACTGCTTGACCTTTAGCAAGTTGGTTTCTCAAAGGCCCCACGTGCGAAGCAATTGGTTTCAGGGTTGCTTTGAAAACAACTGAGCATACATACCAAAGAGGCATTTGCGGCTGCATTGTTTTGAGGGTACCCAATTTGAGATGGTTCAACGGGAAACGAAACGCCATTTTGGGGGTCGGATTTGACACATAGGTGTTTTCTTTTGGGACTCCCCCCCCCCTCTCCCATCGATGTTTGTTGGGTTTCAAGGGAAGCCACGGTGGAGAAGGATACCGTCAAAGAACCCGCACACACACACACACACACGGGAAGCACTGGCCGAGGGTCTTCCTGGTGGGCAGCTATGCCATCTACGCCAACGGAACAGTGGCTCTGCTCTGGGCCGTTTTGTTTCTGAGCTGCTGGGTTCTCGCTGGTTCTGTCTCCAAAGTAATTAGGGGGACCTCCCAAATGTGAGTTTTCCCTTTAGCTTTGATTTGAAACCACTCTGCAAAACGGGCGCCCTGAACAGATCGCCCATTTGTTGGCTCCCAAGACCATATGTTTTTTGCCGCCCTTTTGGTTCTTTGCATGGTGGGTATACCGCATTGTTATCAGGTTTCATCCTGTTATGACTCACTTGAACCCTTTTGGGTTGGACAGGTGGTTCTGGCCTATAGCCGGCGCTGGCGCCTGCAGAACGGGCGCCTGGTGATCGGCGGGGAGCAAGTGGCTTAGGCTCGAGATCGATCGATGGCCGGGTTTTCCACCGGAAAGAATGGGCCAAACATACAGCGGACAACACGACCAACGTTTGGAATTGGGTGAGCCTGGCTTTTGGGTTTCTGGGATTTCGGTGGCTTCCCAATGGACGCTAGTGGTTTTCTCAGCTGCGTGCGTGATTTGCTTGCAAGCAGTGTTTGGTTTTTGATGCTGACAATAATTCCAAGGGAATGGCAGATTATGCAGCTTTGTTCCATAAAGCATAGTGGCAACAAAGTCCAAATGGTCTGACTGACCAACCCCATTATTCAAATTTGATAACCATTTCTGTTGCTCTCTGAATGTCGAGGGATTGGCCACCATGATTTAGCCACAGAATTCAGCAAGTTTGCATTTGTATTGAGAATTGCCTTCTTTCTTCTTGGTTGTTGAAAATAGGGTTCTAGGGCCACTTTCTGTCATACCAAGGTAACCCCCTTCAGAGTGATAAAGTAGTCATGTGTGATGTTCCAACCACCCGTAAACGCTTTCTCAGTGACGCTTTTTGCCGGGTGTAGCGCCGCAACTTGAAAGAATCCACCAGCCAAGGGGGCGCGCGTGGAAACGATTGCATAATCTCACCTTGGGACAAATCAAGCACAGGTCCCCAACAACCCCCCCCCCCAAAACAATTCAATCAAATGGACAAACACATGACAATAATCATGATATTAGACAGGTCCCCACAAACACCAATAAGGAGACCCCGCCTCAAATCATTTCAAACTTCCAATCTGTCCTGGTGAGGCCGTTGCTGCTGCTATACCTTGAATCTTTTTCATTTGTTGTCCATTTGTTTTGAAATACCAAAGCAAAGAAAGCTGCCAGCTTTGCACTAGTGCTACAACAGCCATGAAGCAGTGCCAAGCCAGCAGCACACTCAGCCAGACTCCCTGAAAACCAAAAAGTTGAGCTTTCTGAAAGCGACATTTCTTTATGAAATCCCTTTCAAACAGTGATGGATTGAGAAGGTCGCCTGAGGTACCCCACATGAGTGCCCAGCCTATATGGTATTAATTGGAGCCAATACTAAATCAAATGGAAACTCAAGCAAGACTACTAAATCAAACAAATGAAAGATCACATTAAAAGCAAAAGGAAGCTCCAGCAATTGAAAACATGGACCGAAGCTCCTTTTGGTCTCCTTCTCGAGTTCTAGAATTCTCATCCAATTCAAAAGTAGTGTTGCCGAATACTAACTTGGTATTGCCCAATACGAAAGTAGACCTCCCCAATTATTTCATTTCCAGGCTCTGATTTTGGAGGAACATCTTCTGGACTTTCTCGGGGGGAGGGGGGTAATTATTACTCCAATCATCAGCATTGCTTTGCAATCACCTCACCAGAGGGGCAGCCAAAACAGCGCCTCCATGAATTCCTTGACCGGATCCCTTATTCGCAGTTGGCGAACTATATCCACCTCGCCTGTTTCCTTCAGGCTACTGTGCAAACATCGGCGTGCGTGAAAACCTCAGAATGGAAACCTTTTGAACCTGAACCCTGGAAGGAATGTCTGCTGCCACAGTGAATCTGACGCAATGCAGGATGCAGCATTCCCAGATATCAAAGACCCAGACCCTCACCATTGGTGACTTCTCCCCAAAACGAACTGCCGCTTTTGCCGCCTTGCTTGGACACTTTTGAGTAGCAAGATTGGAAGTGCATAAGGACCTCAATTCTCCGGTGCGGCTATTGACACCGGCCATTCACGGAAGTGGCAGGTGTGGAGTTGGTTTTCTCATGTCACTGAGGACGCGTTGGGGCCAACCCGTTGGCACACCTTCCACTTTGAAGCCAGGTTCTTCTGACGCAGAAGAACTACCACATAGAGCTGCACAGACCTTTTTCCTGGGTTGTTCAAAAGCAATCCACAACCCCGCATCCTGGAAGCGGTTTCCCTTGCAGTGTCCCGCTACGGATTACGGACAAATGCCGGATCCACCCAATTGAACAACCCAGTTATCCCAACAGCGGAGAAAGACCGCAGCCGGCGCTCGTGATATTTTGGCCTACACCTTGTCTTCTGTGGAATGTCAAGCAGGGCAACCACAGCGCAATGAACAAAGTGGATAGTAGACGAAGTACGGTGGGCTGCACAAGCTTGTACTTTTGCTGCATCTGGGACAGAAGTCTGAGCACTTTCACCGGTTGATGGGTACAACCCCCCGCCTATGCTGATTGTGGTTATCACGTTGCAGACCTTGTTCTAGCTTAGACAGTCCTCAGAAATACCACCGCAAGTCCGCATTGAGTGGGCTTCTCTTAGGGAATGCCTTACCGTTTTTGCTGGTCCCCTAATTTGAGACATTCCGCATGGTGAATTGTAACCTTGACCCATACAGGTTTTGGGCGCCAAGTAGCCGTGCTGATTCGCGGGTCTTCAACAGCACATTCCGTTCTGTCTTATGAAAAGGGTTCTTTTTGTGGAGCGTACAACACAATCTGTGGCAGTGCGAAACTTCTCCACTGCCTTACATTTTGGCTGAACAAAAAACACATTAGACAAGGGAGGATCAGCCCACTGAGCCTCTGCAGAAGCTGGATGTGAGGTTATGGTAGTCAAGAAACATCTACAGGAATCGTTTCTGGTTTGGCTTTGATTGACAGTTGGCCTACATGATTCGAGATCAAGGAAATGGTTGGCCGTAAATGTGCGGCTGCCTCCCATGTTCTTGGCGAGTCTCAGCCTTGAGAGCTGGCCGGGTCGATGTCAGTTCGGTCGCCGAGGGGCTCAAGTTGAGTCAAGGGTAGAGCGATGGTTCGCTTTTGAGATGGGCCACGGCCCCGGAGTCTGAGAGAACTGTTTGCACTGGGATCTCCGATTGCAACAGTTTTTCAAGTTTGACTAAATTTGAATATGAAACAGTGTCTGAAGATACTAACTTTGGTGCACTATGGCGTTGGGCCAAGGCTCAAGCTGAACCCTATCCAATGTTTTGCATATTCCAATCGGTTGCGTGGCTGTCAACTCCAACTCCTGTCAATGGGTCGGCAATCAGTTTTGGGAACAAAAGGGGCCACTGCAGAGGTCACCAGTAGGACCCCCTCAATTGGGGTTTCTTGGGTTTCCTCAAATCTTAGATGGGTTCTGCTCGCAAATCACTACCCCTGGGAGTTAACTATATATATATATATACATACATAACTATATGTTTATATTGCCAGCCCCCCCCATGATCTACTTCTTCTTTCTTGAAGTCTTTTTAACTATTCCGTATGTATTGAAAATGCACATGTTTAATGCTAGACTGCTGAGTGTCGTAGTTTTTTATGAATTGTATACGTATATTTAAGATGCAGAATCGTGAATGCACATCCAGAGAACTCTTGACCGGATTCTGGTTTCTGGTGCATTCCACTTTGAATTGGCCATGATAGAGAAGCATGCATTTTATAGTATTTTCTTGTTCTACTCTTACGAAGTGCTAAAACGGCTTTTTTAGGCGTTGTTTTTTTGATGCATGCATTAGGTAATAGAGATGTCACTGCCCAGTTTTCCCTGGGTCGAAATCGTAGACGGTGTGCATGTATGTGGCGTTTCCATGCTGAGTCCCAACCTTTTTGCCGGGGTACAGCAGATCTCTGAAAAAAGCATGATGTTGAGTTGACGAAAGGTGAGCCCTTCACGGCACGCAAACCCAAACCTTTCCTGGCAGACAAATAAGCACCACACTACCGCTTGCAAATGCTTTGTTTGGAAGTTGTATGGTAGGAGCAATCTTCAGAGGAGCAAACAGCCGCCAAAAAGCCAGGCAACTACAGCAGCAGATCCTACGGTCCTCATTTACCTTATGCAGCTCCGAATTTCAAGCGTTGTGGAGGTAGGCAATTGCCCTGCCAGCCTTGCCTGCAACCTGAATAGGAATCGCGCATGGAAGTGTACGTGTATTTGCCCAGTGGGAAGAGCTGTTCTTTTGTGCTACCGCCGGAAACACGCATACGAGAAGTGAAGGCAGAGGCGCAGCGGCAGTTCAAGTGCCGCTTTCTGAGGCTTGCTTTCGCAGGCCAGCAGCTGGATCTCTCGTCCACGTTGCGTGACTTGGGCGTGCAAAATGGGGACCATCTTGATGCCGTTGTGCAGCCCGTGAAGCTAGCTTCCAATGATTCCGCATTCGCTTTTTTCGTTGGCGGATGCATGGCATTTGCATGGGGCAATCCAGACTATGGCGGTGACAGCAGCCCGGTGCAAGAGCAGTTGGTGCGGGCGCAGCAGATCCAAGCAACTGGCCTCGCTTTTGCTGCCATCCTGGACGACGGCTCTGTAGTGACTTGGGGTGCGTCAAGCCATGGTGGTGACAGCAGCCAGGTGAGAGAGCAGTTGGTGGGGGTCCAACAGATCAATGCAACTTCTTGTGCTTTCGCTGCCGTCCTGGATGACGGCTCTGTAGTGACTTGGGGCGATCCTGCCGTTGGCGGTGACTGCAGCAAGGTGCAAGAGCATTTAATCAATGTCCAGAAGATTCAAGCAACTAGCTGCGCTTTCGCTGCCATCCTGGACGACGGCTCTGTAGTCACTTGGGGCCGCTCAAGCCATGGCGGTGACAGCAGCCAGGTGCAAGAGCAGTTGGTGCGTGTCCAGCAGATGCAAGCAACTGCTCGTGCATTTGCTGCCATCCGAAATGATGGTTCTGTAGTGACTTGGGGCCTGTCAAGCCATGGCGGTGGAAGCAGACAGGTGCAAGAGGAGTTGGTGCGGGTGCAACGGATCCAGGCAACCAAGCATGCTTTTGCAGCCATCCTGGAGGACGGTTCTGTGGTTACTTGGGGCGATCCTGAGTGGGGCGGTGACAGTAGCCAGGTGCGAGAGCAGTTGGTGCGGGTGCAGCACATCCAAGCAAATTCCTGCGCTTTTGCTGCTATCCTGGACGGCGGCTTTGTAGTGACTTGGGGCGATCCTGAGTGGGGCGGTGACAGTAGCCAGGTGCGAGAGCAGTTGGTGCGGGTCCAGCAGATCCAAGCAACTACTCGTGCTTTTGCTGCCATCCGAAATGATGGTTCTGTAGTGACGTGGGGCTCTTCTGATGCTGACAGCAGCCAAGTGCAAGAGCGATTGGTACGCGTCCAGCAGATCCAAGGATCTTCCTATGCTTTCGCCGCCATCCTGGAGGATGGCTCTGTAGTGACTTGGGGCAGTCCTGACCTTGGCGGTAACTGCGGCCCGGTGCAAGAGCAGCTAATCAATGTCCAGCAGATTCAAGCAACTGAAACGGCTTTTGCTGCCATCCTGGACGACGGCTCTGTAGTGACCTGGGGCGATCCTGGGAATCTTGAGTGGTTCGGTGACAGTAGCTAGCTGCGAGAGCAGTTGGTGCAGGTCCATCACATCCAAGCAACTCTGCTGCCAGCCGACAAATTTGTCCTGTAGTGACTGGGGCACTTCTGATGCTGACGGCAGCCAAGTGCAAGAGCAATTTGTACGGCTCCAACAGATCCAAAAAACGTCTTTGCTTTCGCTACCATCCTGGAGGATGGCTCTGTAGTGGCAGTTGATCAATGTCCGGCAGATCCAAGCAACTGAAACGGCCTTTGTTGCCCTCTGAACGACGGCTCCGCTGTGATTTGGAGCAGTCAGATTTAGACTCATTTTGATACGTTGTGAGACCAAATGGCTGATATTCGGCATTTGGGAGCTGGGGGTGCCATTAGTCTTCTTGTGTCAGCACGTATCGACGATTTATATCCCTAGGGGTTCATTCCCAGAAGGATCCCTGGAGTGGCTTTGTTGCTTGTGGCTCGCGCTGAAAAGCAGCTCAGTTCTCTAGTGCCCTGCGTTTGCTCTCTTTTTGTTCCGCGTTGTCTCGTTAAAACAGAATTAGGCTGCAACACCGCCTACTGCCACAGCCAAATATATGCCATTATCCAGGTAATTGGTGAAAGTAGGGGAAATTCCAGTCGCACGGCTGGGAACATCTTCCCAATAATACCTGGGATTTTGTACCCATTTTGTTTTTTGTGTGGATCAATTCGAACATTCCAGAAAAGGTGACAGGGGCAAATGCCTTCCAACATGTTCCCTGCGAACACATACGGTGTCCTGGCACGGATCCCGCTCTTTCCTCGTTGGCACCCAGTAAATCCTGGAGGTCAGCAAATCATTCGGGTCACCGGTCCCGCGCTTCGGATGAGTTTGTGGTTTGTGGAAAGGCCCATGTATGCCCTTTGCAGGCTGGTTTCAGAGGGAAGCTAAAAGGAAAGCCGCCATTTTGGGGTCCCACTGTTTTGACACATACCCGAAGAGCTGAAATGACGAATTTATGAGAATTTGGCGGCCTGACTCTGAGCAGCTTTTCTGAGATCAATGAGTCAAAGCTGTTCAAGGAATACTCTCCAGCAGAGTAACATGGAGCCAAGCGGATGGGACTCCAAAGCGGCATTTCCACGTTAGATTTGAACCATCAAGGTCCTTCTCGGGGCGTGTCCTCAGACATGCCATGTCTGCAATATCCGTACAAAGGGGCAATCTCAAGCAGGATGCCCCAACAGCCATCAAATGTCTTGTTGCATGAAATCCTCTGGGTTGTTTTGGGGCCCACTCCATGGAAGTGTTGCTGCGTGTTTGGCAAGTATGAACTCTTTGGCGTTGAGCGCTGTTTCAGGTTCGTTTCCGGAGATTCACGGAGGGACCCCCCTTCAGACTTATGAGTTTGTTGCCTTGTGCAAGTCAACGGGTCAACGGCCACGGGCTGCGCGCTGTTGTGCAGCCAGCGATTTCATGGATACAGCAATGGGATCGGTTCCCGTACTTGCTTCTTCAGAATCAAACTGTTGAATGTTTTGAGGGAACATTGGAGAGCTAACTAGAGGGGCTCAAAAGAAATCACTGCAGATAGTGAGCCAATAGGCAATTCTTCGCGCTCCAGGTGCGGTTGGATCTGCCGATG